GAAAGTAGACTACACGACTTCCAACAGGAGGCAGAGAAACCAGAGGGCCAGCACATGCATGCCAAAGTTCAGAATTCAAACATTTTTTCTCCCCTACACAATCACATGCTAGCATGAATATACATGACGTAAATCATTTCACATCATACCTCACATAATTCTAAAATATAAGTGAAAGGGATACCGTGGTGCAGTCTACAAGTGGCATATCCGTAATAAATGTATTAAACGCATAGCATATTTTATCAGTCAAAATAACACACCATGATCCAAACTCCAGCTACACAAACAGGCAAGCAGAATAATTATACATAAATAGTAATTCAACCTGGTCGCCTCAAACTTGAAATCATAAACTGTACACACCTGCAGACTTAACACCGACGTATTATATATGAAGTTGAAACAAATCAGACACCAATCAAATGGGCTAGATGCCACAAAGTTGACCTTGACATATATTAAAAGCAAATAAAAAACATACTACAGCAACTTGTTAAACCTCAGTTCACGCCATATAATGCCAAACAAGCACCTACAAGTACTACTAGCACAAGCATCCTACAAACCCATGCAACGACAAAAAGAAGCACCAGCACAAATAGAACAAGTACACCAACAAACAGAGGTAAAGACAAGACAAAAAAAATAAACTAAAAAAACAAAAAGTGGGTTTGCAGCATACATAGCAATCAGCACAAAAGAAAGAAGCTACCTTCTTCTTCAGCCGGTTGATTAAATCCAGAAGAAGAAAGCTTCATGCTTTGAGCTATAAACGAAGTTCCAAACCACTAAATTCTCAACCCCAAGTTGAACAAAAACACTATCCATGCACGTTTTCCATGTTCCCTGAATCAGAAATCATGCTGCTACTTCATAACCCACCCTCCCCCACCGCCCCCACCCACCCACCCAAAATTGAAGCCAAAAACAACACTCTAGCTACACAGCATCATCCAAAACCGCTTCCAATGCAACACCCGAACCTTCTAGTTCTCATAACACACTGAAATCCAACCCTAATTCTGAAGCTGAACGCAAAACCCTAGCTTCCCAGATCTAAACAAAAGAAGGATTCAACAGTGGAATTAAGGGGATAGGGATATAGAGGAGCGTGACGTGAGAGTGACATTGATGTCGATTTTGGTGGATTTCAGTAGAAGCATGGAATGTGATGTGAGAGAGAAACAACAAAGAAGAGAGAGAGAAAGAGAAAAATGGGTGTGGCTTGTTACTCAACAACAATAATGCACAGTGACTGGTAATAATTGATCCATGGCATGGTATGGTATGGTATACGAATGGTAACGACAAGTAAACTAAAAATACGGAACTTTCTACGCTTCGAAATCGTAGATACTTTTCGGATACCAACGGAAATACAGGCTATGTCTGGTCTGCTCCAATGCATGTTCTGTTGACTTGCAAAGAACCAAACAAATGTGAAAACGGAAATCATTTTTGGACAATTTTGAAACAATCAAATAAGTATGAAACGGAAATTATTTTGGGAGATAACTTTAGTTATTTTTAGAAAATAATAATTGTTGTATAATTTAGAAAAATAACTTTAATTGTTGCATTTTATTTTTTAGTGTAATTTTAAAACATGTGTATGTAGAAATTTTTAAAATAAGTTAAAAAATTATATATTAAGTATTTTTTTTCAAGTGTTAAACGATGAAACTAAAATGAAAATTTGACAAGACTGTTTATAAAAATATATTAAAAGGTTTCAATTTTTTATTTTTATATTTAATTTTATGTATAGTTATAGTTTTCTTATTTTAGTTACTTATATTTAGTCTATTCTGTTTTTTTAATTATTTAAATTAAGTTTTTATTTTAAATTTTTTAATAATTAATAAAAATAATAAAATTATGACATGTAATTTTTTTATATAAATTATAAAATAAATATAAAATTTAATCAATTATTTTTTATTTAATCATTTTATATTTTTATAAATTTAATAAATTTTTTAATTATTGGATAAATTTTTTGAGTGGGAAAATTAATTTGAATTATTTTAAAATTGAAAGATTAAATGTGAATAATTAAAAAAATTGCTAAACTTGTACATAAATAATTCTATTTATTGTGTATTTTTAGTAAATATTATATTTAATTCGTGTTTTTAGACAAATAATTAATATTTGAAAAAAAATTGTTAAAAAATATTTATTTTATTATATTTTTTGATGTAGTGAATATTTAAAAAAACGTACAACTATAACTAATATTATAGTCGTTTAATTTAAAAATATATATATTATTGAGTTGTGTTTTATCTAATTATTGTGATATTTTTAATTTTGTTAGAGGTCATAATTAGGGAAACAAACAAATAGAGATTATCATTAAAAATCACGATATTAATATTAAATGTTGCCCATTTAATAAAAAATAATTAGTTTTTTTTATCATAGTCTTTAAGAAAACAGTTGACAAATTGGTATTATTTTTTAAGAAAAAACCCCATTCAAATAATCTAATTTTACTTCATTTACAAATCATCAGTATATACTTTAAAATAATTTAGTTCATTTTAATAAATATTACAATTAAAAAAAAAAGGTCAACGAACTTCAATCAGGTCATGAATGAATAAGTGATGCGATTTATATTTTCCAATAACATGTTGTCACTAATTTGTAAGCTTCACTTGTATACAATTTGTTTGTCTAAAATATTACAAACAATTTAGTTTTACAGTTGTTTTATTTATATGCTCTTCAATTGATTATTAATCAACCAAAATAAAATTATTATTATTTAATACTTAAAGAAGTTTAATTTACATATTTTTATAATTAGTTGTATCGATAAAAATGATTATTAAATTTTAAATTTAATTTATTGTCAAAAATTAACTTATAAGGGGTTCTCATACAATTAAAAGCATCTTGACGATGATTAAAATTGAATTTTTTTAAAAATATAAAGATTAAAATAAAAAGTTCACAAAAACATTAAAATCATTTAAAAATTATAAATAATTTACAAATGACCCATTTTAAAATTTTGCTTTTAACTTATCCAAAATTGGGGGGATTAGATGGCAAATTCCTCCCTCAAGTTTTGAAAGCATAGTAACGCACTAAAGGAATAGAAATGCCACTGAAATCATGCCTAGTATATTTTATCAGTATAAGAAGTCAAACATTTAATATATCTAATAAATTTCGTTTTAATGTTTTCTTTTAAATTGAATATACTCCACTTAATTAATGTGTATATTTTTAAGAATTTAATTTTGTAATAATTATTCTATTAATAATCTACTAATACAACAAGGTATATATTTAACAGCATTTAATAAATTTAGCGTTAGTAATGCTATTTAAAATAGTTATATGTAATACATTACACTTAAAAAAATATATCATTAAATGATTTTTATGCAATAAAATACGTCTAGCAGAAATTAGATATTCATAAATTATTGTTACTAATATTAAACATTCATTTCGCAAATTACATCAAATTATCCAATTTTTCCGGTGGAGTAAACAATTCTAATAAATTCAATGTACATTACTACAATAAATTATGGCATTGCTCTTCTTTGTTGTTGTCAATGAATAAGTGATTTTTTTAATTAATAAATAAAAAATTTAAAAATACCCTATCTTAAAAGTTGCATCTTCATTTGTACAAAATAGGGTGGATTTCCTCCCAACTATTGACAACAGGGCAGCGCCCTAGAGGAATAGTAACGCCAAGTTTAATATTTTATTAGTATAAGAAGTCAAATATTTAATAAGCATTTGTATGTAATATTTGTAACTTTTAATTAATTAATATGTAACTTTTAATTAATCAATTTTTTTACCTGTGTAATATTGTAAGTGATAAAAAATTAAATATAACAAATTTTTATATTTAATATTATAATGGATTAAATTATATTAAACTTTATAATTTTTTAAAATTTATTATATATACATGTTTATATTATAAAATATTTCATAAATTAAATTCTTCATAAATTTAATTTTAATAATATATCACTCTTAAAAATATAATATTAAAATTTTTAATCCAATAAATTGATTCACAGTCAGGCATGTCACAATTTATAAGAACCAAACAAATAAGACAAAAAAAGTTTTTTGAATAAATTTGGATAAAAAATCAAAATAAAAATGATTTTAGAAAATTTTAAGTGTTTGGAGTTTTTGAAAATAAGAAATAAATTAAAAAGTCATATATAATATTAAATTTTTGTTGTTCAAAATGGGATTGATATGAAAACTTGAAAGTCATTTAACATATATTTTTAACTAAATTTTTTAAGTTTTGTTAACTGCATACTTAGTTGAGAATATATTTTTTAAAAATTATAATTCGTGTTAAAAAATTAATTCTTAAGAGTTATTTTATTATCAATGTAATTTTTTATTAAATTAATATTTATTTTTTAAATGACTAATACTCATTTTAATAACTTTATATAAGTTAGCATTTATCAGTGATAAATAGTAATATTTATTTAAATTTTAATACTTAATATTATCAATGTAATATTTTAATTTTAATAAAAATTAAAGTTAAAATTCATTTACAATATATATTAAATATAATATTTACATTAATTAATATTTTTTATAAATTGATAGATTAGCTGGTTAATTATTAAATTATTTTATATTAATATATTAAATTTTAATATTAATTTATATTTTAAAAATATTATACGTTAAATAATATAATAAAATATTTATTAAAAACAATACACGTTGAATTAACTAATCTGACCATATAAAAAGAGTTATTAAAATAAGAAAATAACACGGCGGTGGCGGTGGCTTCTCAAATTCCATTCTGAGCGGTTTCATTTGTTATTTACAAAACTTTACAGTCAATTCCTTTTCTTCTTTGGAGGATACAACAAAACCATACACATTAACACCGCTTTAATGCTTTTACCTAATAATCGGATTAGATGCAGATAGAGCCCTTCCCCCACACTACATACAAATCCCTTCATTCCTTCTTCAAATCTGAACCCAACCAAACACTGAAAAATGCTCCTCCTCGGAATATCATCCTTGACGTTAACGTTGCTGTGCTTCTCTTCCTGGTTTCTGTGGGGTGAGGCTCAAGTGCTGGCGACGTGTTCCAACACAGTGCCGTTAAAGCACCGCACCGACAACATTTCCATAACGGAGTTCGGTGGTGTGGGTGACGGACGCACCCTCAACACCAAGGCCTTCAGAGAGGCCGTGTACAGGATTCAACATCTGGCAAAGGAAGGTGGCACGCTCCTTTATGTGCCTCCGGGGGTGTACTTAACGGAACCCTTCAACCTTACTAGTCATATCACACTGTACCTCGCTTCCGGTGCCGTCATCAAGGCCACGCAGGTAAACGTCTCCTTCAATTTTCGGAGACGGTACTTTTTTTTCTTAAGAGGAAAGTAATTATATAAGAAATAGGAAAAGAAAAAAAGTGAGAAAATGAGTGATGTAGTACAGTCTTTTTTTCTAAAGGCAAGTATTAAGAATTTATATAAACAATTTTTATTTTAAATTATAAGATATTATATATGATTAAATACAATGATAATGAATTATTATGAAAAAATTTTATTAGAGCCCATTGTATAACTACTTGTCTCTTCATTTGAACGGCTATTATAACGATGGGGAAAATTCTTTTAAAAATTATGAAATAAATGTTCTTTATATTAAATATTTTTTAATTTCATATGCAATAAATATTAATTTTATTCAAGATTGTACTTATTTATGTTATCTTTAACTGATGATATATATATATATATATATATATATATTCAACTTGTATCTTGTGAATAAGTCCTTTATAAATATATACATATAATAATTTTTTATAAATTAAAATTAATTTATATTTCTTTTATTAATTAGAAGCTATTCTTATATATATTTTTTAAATTTGAATAAATAAATAAATTTTAACTTATAAAAAATTATTCATTTTTTAAATATTTTTTTCTTATTAGAACTTATTCACGTAAAACTTAAATTATTGATTAAATTCAACTTATTGTTTACTAAAAAGGTAGTTTATATTTGTGGGATAAAAAATAACTCGTAGGAAAAGTTTGCCTTCACACCACTTGAGTTACCAAGTGGACATTTTGTATATTGGAGCATTATACAAGGCCATTCTTATCTTGTTTGTATATTATCGACATTTGGAGATAGCGACACTCTTATCTTGTCTGCATTTTATCACACTTGTATAAGAATACAATCTACAATCTTGATACCTTTTTTTCTCTAAGATTCATGACCCTATAGTTGTTTAATAGTTTTTCAATTTTACTTTAAAAATTTATTCTGATACTAGTTTTTCTTTCTAAAGCTCAATTGTCGGTGCTGTCAAATGATTACTTTGAGATTTTTTTTAATGTTTTTTTTCTCGCCCAAGAACGTAGATTGTACACTCAAATTCATTTCCTTTTTAATGACATGCACTAAATTTGCTGTCATATGTTACGTTTTTTACTGGCTTAGTTAAGATTACACAAGTTCTTCGATTTTGATGAACTTTGCTGTGTATTTTCTTGCTTCTCGCCAAGTCTTCAGTCTTCACCGACTGCCAAACATAACGAGGAGAATACGAAAAAGAAAGGGAACATGAAATTGTGCATAAGATGTGACAATTAAAGGGCAATGGTTTATGATTATATGAATTGAGCCAATATCTGTATGGTCGGTAGTGTGGTATGGACTATAGATGAGTACAATGGATCGTAGGAAACATACAATCTCCATCGTCTATGGTGGGTCCCAGGTTGAATGGATGAAATTAAAAACTATTGGGGAGGTGTAGTCTTCATCAATGCATGGCAGTATTGTGTACATGAAATTTATAGCTTTGGTAAATGATTGACAGTGTTTGATTGAGTTTTATTTTAGCAAAGCATATTTATTATTTTTATTTAAATTTTTTTTAAAAAGGTGATTATTTTTTATAAATTTAAGTATTTTACACACGCTATTAATATATTTTGAATTTGAAATTAATTTAATTATTTTTGAGTTATTAAACATAATTGAGATATATATACACACTAATTTGAATTGCATAATTTTATTGAATTAAAATATGTATTTCTTTAATTAGAAAGTACAAAAAAAATATTTTTACCGAAAAATACACAATGCTTTAAAGCCTGTTTAATTATCTAAAAGTAATAAATTTTTATTACATTGGAAATATAAAATTATAATAAATATTTTATTTTTTAATAAAAACCCTCATTATTATTAGACGTTTAAACTCAACCACTTAAGTTGATATTAAGAAAATCGTAAAATAAATGGATGCTTATTTTGCTGGCACATAAACCATGTAAATATAATTCACGCTTTTGAACAACAAAATTATTATACATTCATACTCAAAGACGATTTTCATAGATTCATGTGGTTAATTATAACTGAATTCCTTTCTTTCTTTCTTCTTGCACAGTTTATTTTTTGTCTAAGAGAGAAGCAAACAAATAGATTAGAAGTTTCAAATGAACTAGAACCCCTTTTTACTAAACTTTGTAATTTCCTTCTCGCTTGATTCATTAGGATTCGTCAAATTGGCCTTTGATTGCACCTTTGCCATCTTATGGAAGAGGAAGGGAGCTGCCTGGAGGAAGGTACATGAGTTTTATCCATGGAGATGGAGTTCAGGATGTGGTGATCACAGGCATGTATCTATTATTTACTAATTTTAAGGATATTCTGCAAAAATAAAGTGCTGATCTGATTTTGTAGTTTATGTATACCAGATCACCGAGTATCTAAAACATAATGGTACTATGAGAGTACATCATACATTATAAATGTATAAAGAACCAGAAGTAAAATATTATATATAGTTGAAATTGAAAAGAAAAGAAATTTGCATGCTGGAAAAGCTTTATAATGCATATTCATAATTGAATGGATCATGGATGTCTTTGGTCTCACAAGTTTATTTATTAAGGCTACAGGCTTTCATGTCAAACTATACCCTTTCTCTACACACTTATTCATATTTTTATAGGTGAAAATGGGACTATTGATGGGCAAGGGGATGCGTGGTGGAATATGTGGAGGCAGAGAACTCTTCAGTTTACTAGACCAAACCTTGTTGAATTTGTGAATTCCAGGGATATTATCATTTCAAATGTAACCTTCAAGAATTCACCCTTTTGGAACATACACCCAGTTTACTGCAGGTAAGGTCAACTAAGCTCATGAGGAATATAATATTTATACAAAACCTATGTTACCACACGTGCATGTGTATATATCCTGTGAATCTTGACAAATTTCATCCATGATAAAGTGTGTTGAAAAAGTGTTGACAGCATTCCTCAAATCCTTTTTATTTGGTAACATTATTTTACCATGATGATCATGGGAAAACATTTATACTCAAATTTGTATGAATTCTTTTCATAAAACTGTCACTCTGTTTCTTGAAACTAGCCATCATCCATATAGCTGATTCCAAATTGTCTGACTTCTATGCAGCAATGTTGTTGTTCGATTTGTCACAATTTTGGCTCCACGTGACTCTCCTAATACTGATGGCGTTGATCCAGGTAAGTATTAACTACTGATTAAATATGCCATATATTGTGAAAATGGTGAAAGAGATGTTAGTATACGACAAATAGTCAAGTACTACGCTAACTTGCTAAATAATCTCATTATCTATTTGGTTATTATAAGTTTTGCATTTTGGTTATTGTAATTTTTCCCTTCCAAAACAATTCTTTCAAGCTGTGCTAAAAAAGTATGGAAACCATGAATATTGATTCCACGTCGGTGTCTTGAGATCTGACAAGTATCTTCTCAAAACTTAAGTTCTCTAAATGTTTTTTTCCTTGTTACATTGTTAAATGATTCTGATATCCATTCATCTAAATCATTCTGATACGAACCCTAGGAAAATCACTCCACAGAAGATAGCTGTTTTATCCGGAGAGTTCTGTATTTTCAATGCAGGACTCAAGTCCCATATCTTATAATTGGGATCCTAACAGATTCATTTATGCAGATTCAAGTTCAGATGTCTGTATAGAGGACTCGTACATATCCACTGGAGATGATCTTGTGGCTGTGAAGAGTGGATGGGATGAATATGGGATTGCTTATGGCCATCCTAGCTCCAATGTCACTATCCGGCGGGTAAGTGGATCCTCTCCATTTGCTGGGATTGCTATTGGCAGTGAAACATCTGGCGGGGTGGAGAATGTAGTAGCTGAACACATAAACCTTTACAACATGGGAATTGGTATCCACATTAAGACAAACAATGGCAGGGGAGGGTATATAAAGAATATAATAATGTCTTATGTGTATGTTGAGGAAGCAAGGACTGGAATAAAGATTTCAGGTGATGATGGTGACCATCCTGATGACAAATTTGATCCTAATGCTCTCCCTATAGTGAAGGGTGTCACAGTAAAAAACGTGTGGGGTGTGAAGGTTTTGCAAGCTGGCTTGATAAAAGGATTGAAAAATTCACCTTTCACTGAGATTTGCTTGTCTGATATCAACTTTCATGGAGTGACTGAACCTAGAACTCCATCTTGGAAGTGTTCTGATGTGTTTGGATTTGCTCATCAGGTTAGCCCTTGGCCATGTTCTGAGTTTATCAGCCACCAACAAGGATCATGTGCCAGTTACTCCTAAGATTCACAGCAATTTTTCCACTTTTTAGCTTTATTGATAATGGTAACCATGTGCTTCTTTTGTTGGTTTATCATAATGAAAGGCAGAGAATGAATCACTCTGTTTAACATGAGCTCTATCCTCTTAATGATATTCTTGCTATTTTATAAAGTAAATATTAAATAAAAATGTTTATTTATCATTACGTTGAAAATATAGAACATATGAAATATTTTTTTCATTTAGTAATTAAAAGAATTTATAAGAATAAAGGATAGGATGATTTAGAATTATTCTTATAACATGATATAATATGTAAATAAATTTGTTCAAGCGTGTTTAGCTTTATATGGAATAAAATCGATAAGATGTGACATAATATTATTGAATAAAACGATAAAGTAAAAAAATAATATTAAGTATGTACTTATCATATATCTTATAAGAGGGATTGAGTCCTAAGAATTTTCATTTTTTTAATTAGTAAATTGTAACAGGAATAAAATCTTTTGTATTATTCGTGTGTTTTATCATTTTTTTCAATTAAAATTCATCGCGTCACTCGTAATTTGACATCATTTTTATATACAAAAAGACCCCGTTAGTTCATTTAATTTTATTAATAACTCCTTTTTAATTAAAATATATGATTTTTTTTGTTTGGAAAAAATATCTTAAAGATAATTCAAATTTAGATAAATGTTAATAAAATTGAGTTTGAATGAGTTTAGTTTTGTATAATTAATTCTATTTTTAAAAAATTAAAACTAATTTTATTTATGTTAACAAAAATCACTTAAATATAAGTTTAAAACAAAATTTAATACAATGATATTTGCATCATCAAACTTAAGTTTGGAAACTTTTAATACTTATTATTTAAACAAGTACTTAGTGATTTTAAGTTTTTACACCAGGTTGTAACCTTTTAAATTGTTATTTATCAGTAGTTAAAAATATTTAATTCATTTTGATCTTAACAAGAATAATATACTCACATTTTTGTAACTTCTCTTCATATTGTATAAAAATCTTTTCAATATTTGATTAAATGATATTACTTTTTGTTATATTCAAAAAATATTAATATTTTATATTTAAATTATAAAAAACAATAATTTAATTTTAAATATAATTAATTTTTTTCAAATATCTATACATTACAAAATTTGTATTACTATAATATTTATCTTTTATTGATGTAAATAAACATATTTATTTGTTTAATATATAATAAATTAATGATATATATTGCGAGAGAACATATCGAATGAAAATATAAATATTTAATATTAATAATTTTTATTAAAAACAAAGAATTATTATAGTTTGTTGTTGTCTTTAATAAAAAAATTACGATTAATTATTTTAAATTAAAATATTTTAATAAAAAATTCATGGAGTCACGGGTAATATTAATAAATAAATGTTCAACATAAAAAAAAACACCGGTGAAAATGGAACCCAGTGAACTGAAGTTTCCGCCGCCAAACTTTTCTAACCTCGCAACAGATTATGCTCGTCTCTGTACCCAACCCATACTCCACGTGACCACTGTCACTGTCAATCTCATTTCTCACTTCTCACTTCTCAAATCATGCTTATTCTGCCTCCTTCTTCGCTTGCTTCTGGTGCGTTTTTTCATCCTCTATTTTCCCTATTTTCTCTTTCCATTTTATTGTTATTACTCGTTTAACCACTTTGTTTTTTCTTTCTTTCTCAATTAATTAATTAATTTACGGAAACCAATAAACCTATCGCTCTTTTGTTTAAATTCTGCAAAATTTGATAAATTCTCTTTGAGTTGTCTAGAAAATGGTTCTCAAATCTCAACCAAGTTATCAGGATTATTCCGACTGTGTTTTGATGCGAGTTTGGAAGAGAAGAACCCTGCCTCTTTGTTTTACTGTAATAACGCTAGAAATGTGGAGCACTGCGAGCCAATATCAATCCAAATGTTTCTGTCATGTATTAACGTCAATAGTTGCAATAATTGTAAGACTAAATGCAGACTTTAGTCACGAGGATGGACATAAAACTCTTATGGAGACTTATTTTATTAATAAAAGTTTTAGTGATTTTCTGTTGTTCTATGTGATTTTATATGTTTATATGCAGTGTCTTAAAATTTGAGATTTCAAATCATGTATGAATGGTCTTTGTGTTGAATCATGTTTAACGTGTGCCTTGTAGAAGGAATATGTCACTCAACCACATATGGAATAACAAGCAATTCAATCAAATCCTCTGTTGACGGCCGAAGAGTGCATGACCTTGCCAGCTCAAGGTGTTTGCATGAATAATTATTATTTATCCTTATCCGGAAAATAAATTGATCTGTTTGAACTACATGTACCCTCCGTTTAACCATATGCAGTGTCAATCTGCCATGGACTTCTTGCATGCTAGGATTTTAGTTTTGCTGCAAGATTTTATTACTCGTTACCTATACTTATTCCATATGAAAGAGGAACCATTGAGAACCCTCAAAACAAAATTCTATAATTTTTAAAGAGTATTATGACTTTTAATCATATCACAACTATATTTTTATTAGTCTCCTGCTTCTGCAATCAAACATTCCATTTACTGGGTTGAATATTCACAAATTTGTGACGGCTTCAATTATTTTTATCAGCTTATTCTTGTCACTTGTCAAATCTTGTCTAGGTTGGTAATTATATTCTTGAAAGATCTAAAATGCTCTGTTTACTGAAGTTAGTTTTGGTTATCTTTAGATGCAAAAGTTCGTGTTTTGGATCGCCAAACTTCCTTTGTCTGTCCACGGGGCATGACCTGTGCCTTTCAAAGGTTTATGTTGCTGCAGACTACTCAGATTCTATACCTGATTCTTCTAATTACATGAATGAACAAGGTTATCATCCTCTTGAAGAGCTGAAAATTTCCAATGATGTTCAGCCAGCTAGACTCTCTCATGCTGAAACAGCAAGAACAACTGTAGAGGTGGGTGCTAGTATGCTTATGTACATGTGAAACTAGTTAATTTGCAGTATCTAGGTTTACAAACCTAGTAAGTATAATATAATATTTCTATTTGCACAATATAATGTTTCCATTTGCTGGACATATTTAGGTAGTATCTGTATTCACCATATCCTGTTTGTTGATATTAGGGTAATAAAAATGCTTTGCTAGTATTTCCTGGAAATGTACACTGTGAACCACATGAACAGATTTCATGGGCTGAGTTTCAATATCTTATTGATGATTATGGAGGTTTGTTGTCCTTTTATACGCATATATTTTGCTTATGAAATGAGAATTATCATTTACCTTAATAAATTCATGATTCAGTATTAAACATTGAGAACTTTAACGTATTTTTCGTTTCCATTTTTTACGGTAGATATATATTTTGAAATCTTTGATGATGCAAACCTTTTGGAAGATCGTGAAGCAAATAATCCTGTGGTAAGAAATTTGTAACTGTTTTCAAAGAGATTTCTTTGTTAGACATGCTAAGAGATTGGCCAACTTTGCTTAGCTTATTGAGCTTTGCTTTTAGTTATTTTCTTTTCCCCTTTACTCTAAGGAGTACTACTCTGTGTGTGTTTGTGTGTATAATCATTACTTTCTTTATAAATTGGAAATTGATGGAAGTTGTTGGCACTCAGGAAGTAAACATTTTAAGAACCCCAAATGCTTTGTGTCAAGGAATCATGTCATGTGTCTGTCAAACTTTTGAGTAATATTTCTGGCAGTAAGGTCTTGGCTTTTAATTTTTTGCACCTACCTTTTCTCTGGATGCTCTTTTTTATTTTTTGGCTGATGTGATTGGGACTCTCAAGTAGATTTCATACTTTTGCTCGAAATAATAGCCACCATCATGAATGAGATACTTTATTTTGAATTATATGAAATTATGAATACAGATCCAGATATTAGGAGATTATCTGAAAGTGTATATTTCTTTTAAGTGATTCAACTCTGTTTTTGTGCAACAACTAGCTTAAGAGCTATATTTGTGATTATGATGGTAAACTAAAGTGGCTTTCTCATTGATATTCAAAGTTTGTGTTTCTTCAGAATGCTTTGATTGGAATGGACATCCCAATATATGATAATAGAAGAACCATTAGTGAATATGACATTTTCAATAATGGCAACAATGATGAATTCCCATTTGATGATGATGATATTGAGGTTTGCAATTTCAAATGCTTAATTCATGGAATTTAGTCAGTTGTTTTAGTTATTAATTGTTTCTTTTAGGAATCTAAGAAATTCAAATCACATGTATATTCTTCTGTACCAGGTTCCAGAAATAGAGGAGGTTAATATTCCAGTGAATTGGGGACTGTCAGATACTACAAGCTCAGTTCATCCAATTTATTTTTCAAAGTGCTTAACAAAGGTGCTCTGCAACCCATATGATGAGAATTGATAAATCGTAGTTTCAAGTTTCAACATGATCTATCAGATTCAAAAGCTCTGGAAGCAATAACATTGATCCTTTATGAATTCTCTTCTAGGCTGCCAACATGGAGTGTGTTAAAAGAATGAACCATCCTTCCAATGGTGTTTGTATTCTAGGGTACCTTAGACCTGCTTATGCTGATGAAGAGTCATATCTAAGAATGCTGTATCACACTGAAGATGGTGATGGATACAGGTCAGACTGGAAAGGTATCTGTTTTCTTCATTGATGTCTCAGATCCATAGATTTCCTTCATACACATTAATGTAAAATCATTGTGGGTTTTTCAAGGAGCTACTCTAAAGAAAATTATATACAATATCAACAACAATCAAGCCTTATCTCACTAGGTCTATAGAAAATTATATAAATTCCTAAAAATATATTTTGAAGAGCATAGGAAGTTAAGAGTTAAAGATATAATTAAGACATTCAAGTTTTTTACTTTTATATGTTACTTTCTTGATTTTATTTATTTGCAAGATCAGTAGTTTATTAATTTGTTGGTTACCTTTTATGTCCATTTTATATAATACTTTTTTGCTATGGCACATTTAGAAGTCTGTAAAAGGGCACAGAGTGCTGTGTACTTTCTCGCAACTTTGTACTCCCTCTTGATTTGTTGCCAAGGATTTTGCTTAAAGTTGCATTTACTTTATTGAACATTCAAACTTAGGTGCTAGTTGTTTGGGTTTCAGCTACTCTTGTTAATTCGTTTTTGTCTGGAGATGCCTATCTAGACATTGCACTTCTGTGAGCTTATTGCATCTATTTGACTTGAAGAGGCAGAGTCTCCACTTTCCAACATATTAAATCTAAGTTTATGGCAAAATAGAATTGTATAGATTCAATGGAAAATTAACTTTTAAGTTTTAACCTTTTTCCTTTTGAAATTTTGGATGGTGAAGATTTTTACTCAAATAGTATCAATGATGAAAGAGACACTAGTTTGACACTCTATCGATTGGAGATCCTGAAAATTAAACTACACTCCATGTATGGATATCAGGCATGTCTCTCTGTGTATAATCTGCAATTTGAAGCATTATCAAAACATAGATTTGTAAAGATTTAATCTGAATTACAAATTATGCATGTTCTACCTGTCCAAAAAAATTGCAGTCCGATGTTAGTTTGCTGGAGTTTCAAGATGCTGAACCTGATATTCTCGTACACTCCACTTCGGCAATTTTGGAGCGTTTCAACCGGAACTGTAACGATGCTTTTAAAGCTCTTTGCAAAAAGAAAGGTCTTGACGTGGCGGTAATCCAACTTTTTACACTTTTTCACATACATTTTTCCATTCATTTCCTTGATGAAACCAAACAATTGAAGGAAGTCTCCCTTATTTTCAATTGGATGAAGATTCCTTTCCCTTCATAATACCAAACTTACCCTTAAAATAGACTGATGAAAACCTAAAATCATTATATTTAGACACACTAGAAATTATTTAAGCATGCTAAGGTGCACACACATGCATGCAGAAATGCCCATTATTTGGTTCAATATGTGTTTATTCTTTTGTATCTAGTTCTTACATTTGTGTACACTCTATACACATATATTTGTGTATTTACTGTTTGCAATAGATTTAAGCATGTTAGTTACTGTTGTTTCTTGGCTTCCAGGGAGCTTACTTGATTGGGGTTGACTGCCTAGGCATGGATGTTAGAATTCTTTCAGGTGCAGAAGTAAAAACCCACCGCTTTCCATTCAAAGTCCAGGTAAGCATTGTGGGTTTCAATGGAATGTACATTATTTTAGTTTGATTTTATGATGGACCTCACTTGAACATCTTGGTGAACAGGTATATAATGTATTAATTATCAAAGTAATCTCATTCCTGTCAGTCTCTTAATGGAAAATTTGAGGCTTGAATTATGTAAAAAGCTCATGATTTTTATGCTATCCAGCGTTTAATGTAGCACATAACATGGTAATGTTAAAATAGCATTTACAATTCACAATTGTTCAAGGCTTTTTTATCTAATGGTTAGCATAAGCCTACCACACAGGCTACTGCATTCCATAGACTTGGCCTATAAAAGCATTTCTATGGAGATATAGATGTCTGGTATGATACATTTACAGATCCATTAATGGAATTCTTCTCTCATTTGCAGGCCAACTCAGTAAATGCGGCTGAAAAACAGATTTTGCAACTTTTGTTTCCCCGATCTCAGCGAAAAAAGTATATGAAGTCGTGGCAGAGGGCTTAAAATCCAGTGAGTTGAGTTGAGTGTCCCTTGGTGATTGGTCGTTATTTTTTTTACGGTCCTTTTCAAACTGGCCGTAGAGCCTGATCTGGAGTAATTGATGTTTTCTTGTATAAAATAGTTCTATAATCTGTACATTTAGTTATGGGTAAGTCCTACACAGCATTCTTTGGCACACTCAAGTTTAGGAAAAGAGAAGGTAAAGGGCATTGCCACTCTACCGAGTATTGGTGGCTGCAAATTTAAACCTGAGCTTCTCTAGTGAAGTCTTTTAATCCTTACCAGTTAAATCATTCCTCTGTTAAAATGTTACTTTTTTTTTTCTGACAATAATTAATTAGTGGTGCTGACTAACGGCATTTCTAGATACAACCATTTCTAAAGATTTTTCTACTCATGATTTTTTAATGCGTGCGTAATTATTTTATATTATCAGTACATTTTTTATGTAGGTTTGAATTTTACCATTATTATCTATACAAAATATAAGAAATGCCCAGCTCATTATTTTCTATATTTAGCACACTGTTCATCGTCCAACCTTTGAGCATTAGATAGATCCCAGAGCTGGAACAGAGTTGTTCAGTGACCGCGTCACTGTTATTATTAGGAATTATGCATGTCTCAGAAGAGAAGGTGGTCTTGGGTTAACAATGCACACATGTTGTTAGAGTAGAGTATTACTCACACAAATTATTACATATAAATAGATAGTGCAGAATATAATTATGGATCCATTGCACACAAATATGCATTACAGCTGAGTATCCTAAACTGTGTATACGTTAAAAATGGGGAAAAAAAAGTAATTAAGTAGCACAAATTGCAACAGATAAGAAAGCTGTTAGGAGAGCTATTCAATTTTTTAACATGTTTTTAATTTAAGATTTTAAAAAAAAAAACACACAATCTATGCCCACGCAAACTAGGTAGTTTTATTTCTATATTTTCTGGCCAAATCAGAGATTGTTACAGCAGAAATTAAACAGAACAAAGACAAAGTATCTTGCTAAGAATAAAATCTCTCTCTCTCTCTGTGTATATATATATGAAGTAAAATCTTTTTACTTACATTCAATCTAAATTTTTTATTTAATTTATATATAATAGATTATAATTTATTATTTCATTAACCGTTAGATATTTTTAGACTTACTAATATAAGAAAATTCTTCGTATATAAATATATATAAACAAGATTTTTTTACACCGGTGAAAGTTTAAAAATTTTTACACTTAATCTGAACCTTTTATTTAACTTAAATCTAATGGTCAGTAAAGTAATAAATTATAACTCGTTAGATTTAAATTAAATAAAAGATTCATATTGAGTGTAAAAATTTTTATACTTACATCGGTGTAAGAAGATCTTATATATATATAGCTCTTAACATTAGTTTAGCTTAAATTTTTACTATGTTAAAAATAAGTAAAATGGACCAAAAGAAAAGAAAAGTATTGGGTGGCCTGTCATTTTTTCAATAATGGCTACCCTCCCAAATTTCTAGAATGATGCGTATGTGTGGAGCATCTAATATTTCTAGGAAACCCTTTCCATGGCATAGTTTTATTGACGCACTTGTAAGTTGAATTGTCCCATTATTTGATATCTGAATTACCTGCAGTTTTAGCGAGAACTGCAGACTATAATTTTTCATTCGTTTAAGCGAATTTTGGCTTAAACCAAATAAAATTCGCTTAAGCGAAAACAAAAATACACTGCAACATCTTCTTGTTCACACTGCAGCATCTTTTTGTTCACAAGAAAATGTTTCATTCTCTTAATTCGGCTTCCTCTCTTCCCTTCTCCTTCCAATCCAATCATCTTCTTCCTCCCTCTCCCCTCTCACTCAGTCCCTTATAGGTTTAGGCTATTTTGCCCCTTTCTTTTTATTTGTGCTAGTTGTAAGTGTGAAATGAATAAAATTAATTTTTAGGCTTTTTTTTTTCTAATAAATTTAGAAAAAAAGAAAAGGAAAAACATCCATTTGCTAGCAGAATTTGAAATCCATTTTCCTCGTTATATTTTTTTTTATATTTTAGATATACTTTTAAAATTCTATCCAATTTAATTCAACTCAAATCAATCTTAAATACAATCATAATTTCATTCATTAAATTTTCATATAAGTAAAAACTTAAGAAGGAAAATTATAAATGATACTAAAAAAAAACAATATATTATATATTGACTTTTGTTACTTACCCATCTTTGTTTTTGCTTATCCTGACTCTAAAAATTAGTCTTTTAAACTAATTTTATTTTTTCTCAAAATCATAGTTATTTTACAATTTTGATGTAGAATTAAATGTTTTCTTCCGAATTTATCCTTAAGATAACTAATGCCCCCAAACTGGTTTTTTATATTTTCTTTATTCATTTACTGCATAAGCAAAATTTAAAATAGGTATAATAAAAAAATTCATAATATTTTTAATAAGAATAAGACAATTAAATGTATTTCTTAATCATTCACAACCTTGAATAATTACTTTTCAAAATATTTTAGTCCGTAATAAAATATACACTATTTAATGTGTAGGTTCATCATAAAAATTTTCGAACTAATGAGTCAGGCTCATTTATGAAATTACAATATTCACGTATTTTCTTCATAAATTTATTATCTCAATCACTTCTTCTTAAGATGTTTATCAAATTATTTAGAGCATTTTTTTTTAAAGTCTGTTTTACTAATATTTATACTTTGAATGTGATAATTGATACTTTAAATTGATCTTTATTATGATTAGTGTGTACTTTTAGATTTGTTTAATATTAACTGCAAATTTTGTAATAAAGATATAAAAATTGAATTATTAAATATAATTTAAATTAATTTTCCCTTACGAATTTAAGTTACCTTTCATTAAAATGAATTTATTATCTTATTTAAATTAGTTATAACTGATTTACAGTTTATTTTTATAATTGAATTAAATAGATTTTTATTTAAGAATTAATTCAAAGGGAAGGAGAAACACCCACCATAATATAAAGTAATGAATTTCGTGTGAATATGCATTAAACATTAACTTAGATGGAAGCCATGCAAAGTCCAATGCTCTTTATTTATTTATTTTTTTAGCGTATACAGAGAGACCAATGTTAAGTATAGATCCGATGACAATAAAAAAGATAATTATAATTTTGCTTGACCAAAAACAAATTATAAAAAAATAATAATAATAAAGATAACTAAGGAAAAATAGTTTAAAGTAAGAGATAGTTTTTTTAAAAACAGCACATTTTGCTTTTCCTTTATTCAATATACGTGGATTATCCTATTAAGTATTAACAGCTCAGCAGAAATTTTAAAAGCATTGAATTGTTCTATTTTAGTATTATCCACGAATACATAACAATTATCCAAACGACAATGAAGAATACTAATATTTACAATAAAGTTAATATTTTGCTTCTCTAATTTTACTTTTATTTTATTTTTAAATTTTTTCGTTGTTTATTTTTTAATTTTTTAGTTTGATGTTCTTTTAAAAAATAAGAGTTAAAAAGTGCATATTCGACACGATTACCACGTCATTTTTTCAAATACTAAAATTATTAGCTACCTAAGTATGAGAATAGGCTTTGTTTTTAGCATATTTTATCATTTTTTATTATAATATCAATTACCAAGGAAGGCCATTATACTTATGAGACAATTGGGTTACTAATCATAGCAATTAGGATGAAAATTTTTATCGTTTCGAAATTAAACTCTTAAAAAAATTATTTTAATAGCAAAAAAAATTTATTTTTAATAATCACAAGGAAATAAGTTTTTTATTATTCTTAATATAAAAAATACTTATTCCATATATGGTTTGATTAAGTGTATGATACTGAATACTACGAAAATTAAGAATATTAAGAAATATTTAGCACCAACCTGGATCTGACAGGAGCATTCACTTTCAGTCCCTTCTTCACATCAGAACTGCGAAAGTCTCTCCCTCTTTTTCTTTTTTTTTTGCAGCAAAAGAAAAATATCAACTCTTCTCTCTCTCTCTCTCTCCCTCTTCTGGTTTTGTTTTTGTGTTGCAGCAAAAAATATATATATCAAATCCGAAGAAGGGACAAGAAGAGAGAGTTTGTTGCAGTGGCCGTCCAAGTTGGAAACTTTTGCATATTTAAAGGATATCCCATCATTTAAAATTTAAACTTGGATAGTCGTCTTCTCCTTGTTCTCATTCTCCCTATCCTTGTCTGATTTTTGCCGTCAACGTTGTTTTCTCTCTCTTCAAGATTTCAAATAGTGGCTGATGACGCTGGAGCAGGAGAAGGATCAGGTTGTCCTTGATGCAGGGATGAAGAGGTACAGGAATGGAGAAATTTGGGAGTTTGAGGATGACATGAGTGTCTCAGATGGTGGAACTGGTGTTTTGTTGGGTTTGGATGGTGGCACTACCTCCACTGTCTGCATTTGCATGCCCATGATTCCTTTTTCTCATTCTCAGCTCCATTCTCTCCCTATCCTTGCAAGGGCTGTTGCTGGCTGCTCCAATCACAACAGTGTTGGAGGTAATTGCTTCCCTTCTTCTGTTTTGTTGTTTAATTTTCCTTTCTGGGTCAATTTCAATTTTTGAATTTTTTGGGTTGTTTATTAGGTTGTTATTTTGTAATATTTGTTGCGAGTCTGGACATTTTGAATAATGATTTGGTCGTTTACATTACTACCTTGCTTGGTTCGGTGTGTTCTTTTTTCAATTCCCTTCCTCTGTGGGTTGGGGACAACGGGGTGGATAAGAGAGAACACTTTGCTTGGATATACATTTGACTTTCAATACCTTGGGAGGATTTTGGTTGTGGCTTAGGCAATTTGGTGAACGAAAATATGTTTGTAATGGAGAAAGTGGTTGTTTTCGATATGAGGCTAAGTATTTTATTGATGTAAGGTAGTCACGAGCAACTATGACCTACAACAAAGCTGCTGGAGATTCATCATTTAGAGAAAGCTGCGATTTTATGGTATCTTCTTTGGTTTGAGTTGTTAATATCTATAAAGATTACATACTGTCTCCTAATTGACTTTGTGAATTGTGATAGGATTTTCTTTTTGACATTCTAAAGATTCTGGCAACAATGTTTTTGTCTTCAGATGTCTCGTTTTTTTATCTCCATTTTGTACTTTCTGTGGTACTTCGTACTAATGAATTTCTTATTTTAACTATCTCCCTCTCCCCATAAAACAAAAGTTGATGCTAACTGATGTTTTCTTAACAAGTACACCTGTACCATTGCCATTGGCTCATTTTTGTAAGTTAAATTTGTTTATAAACTACAAAGAAAATTTGATGTCCGCAGCAGTTTTAAAGAATTATACTTGTCATAATAGAATGAAGATCATATTGCTAGGAGAATCTTATATTAGTTATTACCATTAATCACTTCTTCTACAGAAATTGCTGCAAGGGAAACATTAGAGCAAGTTATGGCGGATGCCCTTTCAAAGTGTGGTTCAAAACGATCTTCAGTCCGAGCTGTTTGTTTGGCTGTATCTGGTGTTAATCATCCAACAGATCAACAAAGAATTCTCAATTGGCTTAGGTTTCTTTATATAAACATATCTTCCCTCATTTTTTTCTCTTTTCTGGATAAAAAATATATATTTCTATTTTTACAGTTTTTCTGTTGGAAGAAACTAAAGATTTTTTAAAATTTTATTTATGTTAGTTTTTATAAGTAATAAATGTACTGTGTTCTTATCTCTAATGAGATAGATGATCTGTCTTTTAGTTTTTTTAATATATTAAATTATGCAAGGAGAGGAAATACCTCTTCCAATAGTTCCTTGTTTTATGGAGTTGGTGGATTCAATGTTATTGATAATTCTGACTCATACAACCAAATCTAAGTTGTTTATAAAAGTACTAGGAAAGAGAATTTTCTTCCTGAATACCGCAATATTGACTGAGTTAATCCTGTCATGGATAATAGGTTATTATAGCACTCAACTTTTATAAAGTTGAGTGATAACATAACCTCTGCTGCTGTCTGTGTAATAAGTCTTACCACATTATTTCAATTTTATATAAAAACGAATAATACTGAATTTTAAAGATGCTATGTCATTTGATCTCCACCATAGTTTCTCTACTACTTTAGAGACTAAAGTATGTTGTAACCTGATGTAAACAGGGATATATTCCCAAGCCACGTGAGGTTATATGTTCGGAATGATGCTGTGGCTGCACTTGCAAGTGGAACAATTGGTAAGCTTCATGGATGCGTATTAATTGCTGGCACAGGGACCATTGCATATGGATTTACTGAAGACGGAAAAGAAGCAAGGGCTGCAGGTGCAGGACCTGTCTTAGGTGACTGGGGCAGGTAATCCGTTGCTACCATTTCTTGGTCCTTGATGATCTCCCCCCCAACCCCTATCCTCTCTTTCTCTAACTCTTCTCTTAAAAGCTTTATTTCTGTCTAGGAAAGCTACAAAGAGAACCTTGGAGAAGGTCTTTCTTTCTATATCCATCTTGATTCCATCTACTGTTTGGTTGAAAGTTTGCTTTTTATTTGCAGTGGATATGGAATAGCTGCACAGGCACTAACTGCAGTAGTAAAAGCACACGATGGTCGTGGACCAAGTACAATGCTTACAAGAAGTATCTTACAAACCCTTGGTCTTTCTTCTGGTGAAGAATTAATTGGGTATATCTGCTAGCTGTATAATTGTTCATTTCATATCTGTTTGTGAAGTAAATAACTAGGTTTTTTTAAATCTTACTGTTAGAGGTGCAATACATAAGCATTCATGTGTCCTCACCAACAGCTTAATCTTTTGGATTGATGTGGTTCATGACATGGCATCGGTGTCTCTATGACCCAAGTGGTCTAGGCTTTGATTCTTGCCACCCAAATTATTCTAATAAAAAAATGAATTTTATCATAAGGTAAGTGAGCCTGTGCATTATCCATACAGTACCTCAAGCCAAAATGGCTCTTGTATGAGGAGTTGTGTTAGAGATGTAACATCCAAGTCTCACGTGTCTTCACCTAACTGCTTAAGGTTTTGGGATTATTAATTTGTGATACTTACACTTTGAAGCCACTTTTGTGCACTTCATGTAGAAAATATGTTTTAAGTTCTATGAATCGAATACTATGTGTTAATTACTTGGTTCCTTGTCTATCCACACAATAAATGTGAATAAATTTTGAGTTTATGTATTTCAAAAACAAGAAATTTTAAGTTAGAAGTAATCTTCTCAATGTGACATTGCATGCTCCGTTCAGGTGGACCTATGCAGATCCCTCTTGGGCTCGCATTGCAGCACTTGTTCCAGTTGTTGTGTCCTGTGCTGAGGCTGGGGATGAGGTTGCAAATAAAATCTTACTAGAATCTGTACAAGAGCTAGCTTCAAGTGTCAAAGCTGTTGTTGAGAGACTTGGATTGTGTGGTCAAGGTTAGGTGGTGTTATGATAAGTCTTATTTACAGTGTGCATAACCTTATACTCATTATAAATAGATATCCATTAAAAAAGTCAAGTCCTGCATTGTAGTGTAAAATTTCATATTTTAAGTAATATATGCAGAAGATGGGTTATAAAACTAGTGATATAACTGGTGTGACGTAACAACAATTGATTTCAGGTTGATTTAAATGAGATTGCTGGAAAACTAAACTGACATTTATGTAAGGTTTAGGAAGGTCATGCTTGTCCATGCCTTGTAGAATTTGCTTTTTTAACTTTATGCTTGATATCTGGGATGCATATTATTGCCATGGCTTGCCTGAATTTGTCAAACTTTTGATACAAGCATAAATATTTTCCTGGCATTTTGTATAAGTGACAAGAAAACCTCATTTAAATCTTCGAAGGATGTTGCAAGTCACATTTACTGACTTGCTGCTTGCATATTTAACTGCAAAGCTATCTTGTATAGAAAGTGTGATTAAAATTTGAACTAGTTGACTTTTTGCTCCTATAACAAGAGTCTTTTAAAATATAAAAGAATCTCTGGCATTCATGAACATGGGCTCTTGATCTTGCCTCCAGCTTTAATGAATATTGTGCATTGACTGTTATTCTCTACTTTTTGCAGACGGAAAGAATGCTTTTCCCCTTGTTATGGTTGGTGGTGTTCTTGAAGCAAATAGGGGGTGGGATATAGGAAAAGAAGTAATGAACTGCATTTCCAAATACTTCCCTGGGGTAATTCCCATTAGACCAAAGGTCAGCATATTTTGTCTTTATTTTAGTATGTAGCTTTATTGTTATTTAGTACAGCATTTCTTTTAATTCTATTCCTTAAGAGGGTGGTAACCATATTTGAAAACAATTGCATAAAAGAGCACATCCTCAGTTCGTTGTGATTTAGTTGATATTTAATTCATTCTGGTTAACAATTACAAAAGAGGAGATCAACAAATGTTTTCCTTTTTTCATTTTGTAGGATCATAAGTGTAAGTACCAAAAATCAATTTTTAACATCAACGGGTTATTGTACAACAGGTGGAGCCTGCTGTTGGCGCGGCATGGTTAGCATGGAATTTTTTCATGAAAGAATATCACAAGGAAATATGTGGTAGCTGACAATTGATGAAGTGGACTAAGATTAAAAATTGAAAAGGCAAAAAAATGAAAAAAGAAGTGGCAAGTCCCAATTTTCGGTGATTAAAAGTGTATACACAATGCCATAACGGTGAAGCTATAAACTATACTTGCTATGCCATAGAGTTTATGTACCATCCAAAATATATATTATTATCATTTATATTAGGTCATTGCACGTGGTAGGCTTCAGGTCCTCCTGATTATTTTCTCGAGGCACTGCTGCTCCAATTATTTTCTTGTGAACTTGAGGTCAAACCTATGCTTGTGTAAATAATTTTTAGTTGCATAAACCAAATAGAGATGTCTTCTACCCTTAATTGTTGCATAACTTCTATTTTTTGTATTAATTGTTGTTGCAGAATCAAGATTAGCAATTTGGCACCGCTAATGGAAACGTATATTATATATTATGATTCCAGGGAATGTACCTTTATATCCGCTTTTTGTTACGTGTCTGCTGTTTAGGGTAAGTAAGACAGGAACATGGGACGGTTTAGCAATTCTGAAAATTGGTTTATAATATGTAAAATAAATCGAATTTAGAAAAATTTGCATCTTTATTAGAAGAATGCGGTTCTCTCAATTACATTGTCTGTCAATCATCAAATTTATGATATAGTAAGGGATAACAAAAAATAAAAATAATTTTTATTAGAAAAAAACTACTTTAATCATCTTTTAAGAATATTTTGTATTTTAAATCAATTTAAAAATTAGTTTTTGAAAACCTGTTTTTTTTTTAAAAAAAACCTGCATTTATTGACCCAAAAAAATATATATTTTTAAAGAAAAAGTAATATATTTGGCTGAGAAATTTATGAACACCTAAATAAATAACGTGTCACAAGAAAACAAGTGAAAAACACAATGATATTGATGAAGTGCTATTAAACACATGCTAGCTTTTTATAACATTTACTTTTATTTCATTGTTTATAATTTCATAAGATGAGTTAATATATAACGCGTAAGTCCAATTAAGGGATTCTAAACTATCCAGAACGTAACATAAATTGAGTTCGAGAAATTTGAACGAATCCGAATTTTCACGTTCTGACGGAACCATATCGAGTCACATTAACCCCCCCTTTTTTTTCTGATTGTAGTCACATTACGAAATTTTTGAACGACTTCTACTTCTACCCTTTGTTCATACGAGACAACAAAACGAGAAGATAAACAAATTAAAAAGAAATTTTAAAAAGTCAACTTATTTTTCTTTTATTTGTTCAGAGTCTTGGGTTTAATGCTACAATGCTCCATCGTGAATCAATGCATTCTAGCGACTGTGTCTACGAAAGGCTGAATCTGATCAACTTGATTCTCTAATTATTTTATCAAACCAGAAGTAAGCGCGGGCGAGGGGTGAAACACAAATCACTGATGATTAAAATTACATATTATATGAGAATTTTCTTGCATAATAAAATTGTAGTATAAAATAAAACAGCAGAGAACCCTGCAGCTTTCTTGGAAATTTTATCTGCCCATTAACTACTTTCGGGAACATAAATACATTCAAAACTGAATCGCCACTCCATAAACTTACTTCAAAACACCCATGCATATAAGTACGTATTTTCAGGATCATTCAATGCCCATGGAGAGAGGTTAACGAGCCAAAAAATTCACGATAGATGATGGAACCCACCGAATACAGCCTTTCCTTTCTTTTTCTTCTTTTAATAAAAGGAGCAAAAAACAATACAGCTGAGGCTGAGGCAGAAGTCCCAGAAAAGAAAAATCCAGTGCCCATGGAACTTATGATTCTCTCATGCTATATATAACCTTCTCCAATCCTTTGAGATACAAAGATTAGCCTAGGTGCCTGTAAGTTTTCGAGGAAATGACAGAAGCTAACTCTACAACGACTAAACCATCAAGAAATAAAGATGGTGCATTTTTTATATTTATGAAGTTAAAATGGTCTTCTTCGACTGTTCTACTTACTACCACGAGAATCACCAAAGCCACTATACTGACCTGAGCGAAGATCTCCAAAACCACCTGAATGATCTGAACCACCAAATACCCCAAAATTATCTGAGCGACCAAATTTAAACCCACCGGATGATCCACCAGATCTACTCCCTGATTGACCTGAACCAGAGCCACCAGATGAGCCATAACGACCAGAGCTTGGTCCACCATATCTATTCATTTCACCAGATGAATTACCAGAAAATCCCCCTCCTGATTGATTAAAACTAGGGCCACCAAACCGATTAGAACTTGGTCCACCAAATCTTTCACTAGAGTTTCCAAAGCTAGAGCGGCCAGATCCAGAGTTATTGTAGCCCCCAGTGCGGCCAAATCCAGAACCACGGCTAAAACCTGTATCTCCATATCGACGATCCCTTGCACCTCCAAAAGAACCATATGGCCCACCACCCATGCCACCAAATGTGTCCACTGATCCACTATCAACGGCAATCCTTGGTAGCTGATAAACAAGATATTAGTAAAAAAAAAAAAAACACGAAATTAATCATTATACATAAGTAAAAAATACAAAAATAATGTAATTAGCAGAGGAAAGAGGGAAATCATCACAGCATCAAAAAATTTGTAAAATAACTGAAGGATGGTAGATCAGTGGCAGCTTAGATATTAAAATAAGGTACCAGAGAAAATTAAGATTTTCAGCAACTTGAGTTTTATCCGTATTTGGTGCAACAGGACTCACAAACTAATAATAACCTTTTTGGTATGTCTCTATAAGGGAAATATAATTGTTCAACATCAACATCTCGATCTTTGGATTTCACAGGTTCAAATCCCATTAAGGGGCAGGATAGGGACATGGTGTTTAAGGCAGGACGATACGCTACCCTGATAGTGTAGCCTCAATTTCAATGACCAGAAAATGAGTAATTAACAGGGTACAACATCAAGTGAAAACAATTAGAGAGATGGAAATGTAGGATGCCAGGAGATCACCTCTGTAAATCTACAGCCCACATCACGCTCAATCAGCCTAACTGCCTTCGATTGATGTTCAGTATACACAAGAATGGCAGTTCCTTTCTTACCAGCACGACCTGTTCGTCCAGATCGGTGAACAAATATCTCTGAGGAATTGGGAAGATCATAATGTATTATCTGTGCCAAGTTAAAAATTTGCATATTAAAAATTGAACAAGATAACAATATTGTATACGTCAAAGCATATATGCACATGACATTTTAAACAAAGTAAAGCATATAACCTTGACAAGACAACAAACATATAAAACAATAACACAACAAGGAACAAAATAAAATGCATGAGAGTTCCAATATTTACAGAACCGCAAACAGAACAAACAACCCATAAATAAATATGCAAGAATACAGTAATACACCTAAAGCTTGCTGCATAGCCAAAAAGTAAGAACTAAGCATTTCTTACGAAATTTTCCCATTTAAAACTCAGAAAGTACAGAAGAATGAAGGATCAGATGTTCAAATATCTTGTGCTAAATGGAAAGATCAAAGCACAGAAACAGTGCAGCATAACTTTAAAAGATGCATAATTTTTATGAAGAAATACAGCATCATAAATACCAGAAGCAATTCACTGATTTCTACCCCGTACTAAGCCTAAACTTCTAGTGCAAACAAAAGCAAGGAGAAAAATAGTGGAGAAAATGATTTTCGCTTGAAATTCAATTAACTACCAATGAACACACAGCTTCAATAGATAAGATGACTTGACTATTTCAAAGAAAAAAATATAGTAAAGTGGAACTCACAAGATCAACATTAGGTATATCAAGCCCACGTGAAGCAACATCGGTTGCGATTAAAACATTAAAATGGCCACTCCTGAAACCAGCAAGAGTTCTTTCCCTCTGAGCTTGTGATATATCTCCATGCAAAGCTTCACATTGAAGACTTTTAGCCATGGTATATGATAATCGATCCGCATCACGTTTTGTTTGAGTGAAAACAATACACTTTCCTCCCTTGGCATGTTCCTGCCAATGGATATATATTAAGAAGACAGCAAGAGCAAATCTAATAACAAGTTTCCTTAGTTTGTAATTAAAAATGTATATAAGGGCGACCCAGTGCACAAGGTTACTACCTAGTAGGATAAAAAAAAAAGTAGATGCACACAGCCTTACCCCTACAAGTGGAGAGGCTGTTTCCAGGATTTGCACCTGTGACTTCCAAGTCACAAGGTACCAAACCTTACCATGCGCCAAGGCTCACCCTCTAATTAAAAATATATATTTTAGCAAAAGCTTAAGAAAACAGCATAATAAATTTTAACATTTTCTTCATATAAAGCAGCAACAATAATAACGATCACTAATCAAAACAAGCAGTCAAATCAAGAAATGATAGTGTCAGAAAGCATACTGTTATTAGAGGTGCAAGAACTCCTGCTTTAACATACATATCAGTTGCAATTGAATACAGTGCAATCCCATCAGCTAACTTCTGATCAGAATCTCCAACCTACGGCACCAATAATTTTCCAATTAAAACATAGCCGTGTAGTGCATGGTCACGCTACATGTAAATTTCCTAAATGCTTGAGGCATTATCCTAGTGCCTAAATAGAACGCTATACTTACAAGATCAATGGTCAGGGGATTTTTTAGGTAGTTGCGTGTAATCTGCTTTATCCAAGATGGCATTGTAGCAGAGAACATCAGAGTCTGACGATTTGGGGGCAACCTCTCCAAGATCTTCTCCACATCCTCCTGAAAACCCACTTGAAGCATCTGATCAGCTTCATCAAGAACAACAAATTGAACTTCCTTCAAATTTAGAGCACCTCTGTTGAGAAGGTCAATAATTCGACCAGGCGTCCCCACTGCAATATCAACACCATAATCAAGCTGCCTCATTTGTTTAGAGATGGGTGTACCCCCATAAACACAAATAGTGTCTAAGTTAGGTGCCGCCTCATAGAACTCCTTTTCAACCTGTCGTGCAAGTTCTCTAGTTGGAGCCAAAACCAAAGCTAGAGGATCCCTGCCTCGCCTGCCACGTCAACAACTAAAACTTGTAAAATTTAAGACACAAATCAACATTATCCAGCCACCCCAACACCAATTACCCACTCCGCCCAGCTTCAACTCAAGCAGAAAAACAATGTAAAAATTCAAGTCAAAACAAAACACGTGTCTTCAAAAAAGAAAAAGAACCAACCCATGCTTAGCATTAAACTGAATGATCTTATCCATGATGGGTATCCCAAATGCAAGAGTCTTCCCAGTTCCTGTTCTAGCTCGACCGATCATATCACGACCTTGCATAGCAGGTTCCAGCACAGCCCTCTATGATTTAACCATTTAACCAAATTAATTAAAAAATTAACAAAAGCTCAAAGTATTAATAATTTCTAAATTACACCACATAAACTAAGTAACGTACTAACATAGATCATATAATTTCCATCAACGAAAAGGAATAAACCCTAGAAAGCTTACCTGAATGGGGAAAAGCTTGGTGATGCCTTTCTTAGCCAAAGCAGAAACAATATCCTGAGAAATCCCAAGCTTCGCGATCTCGAGACCTTCGTCGGCGTTTCCTTTGGACCCTTCTTCGTGTGGGAAAACGTCCACTGCATATTCTGCGCGATGAGACAGTGAGGAGTAGAAATTCAAGGATGGTTTCGAGTGGAAGGTTCTCGAATTGAAGGCGGTGGAGAGTTGCCGGGGCTCGACGGCGGCGGAGGCGGAGATGATGGCGGCGGGAAAAGTGCGCCGCGAAAGAGTGGAACAAGTTCTTCTGAGAATCGCAGTTAACATGTTGTTGTTGGGTGTGGTGAGAAGATGGTAAGAGAAACCCTATACACTGCAATTCGGGGTTTAGGGTTTTATGACATTTGAAAATGGAAATGGAGGAGAAGATATTTGAGGGGTGGAGCAATCCTGTGTGTGCAAGTCTTCTTACTGTTATCCTGCGCCTTACAGTTCTTATGTTAGCCTTAGGAATTATTTATTTATTTGTAGTTTTGGATTTAGAATTTTGATTATGGTAAAATTTTGGAAAAATAAACCTCTTATTTACAATTATTTTATTTTGTTTGATTTCAATTAATCGTATATTTAACATGACATTGAATATCAGTGAATTTAAATGAAAAAAAAGCATATTAATTGTTACAATTATTATCATTTTTATATTTTCATTAGTTATTGGATCAAAGAAAAAGTTATCATTTTAGACCTCAGTGACTTTGGGGAAATCAATATAGCCTTTAATATATATGTATATATACACACACATTGTCTCTCTTTATATTATTTTCAAAACATTATACTATTTAAAGTTGCAAAAACTATTTCTCTTTAATTTTCCTTTATACCAACCCCTGATGCTTTGTCAACTTTCAAATTCAAATTCAATATTAATTAAACTAATTAACTTCATATATTCTCAACCCATCGAAAATGATAAATTTTACATTTTTATATAATGTGTTACTTCAAAATTAGTTTTCATCTTATAATATCTCGTACAACTACTTATTTATTATAATATTTGTATTTATATTATATTAATTTATTTTCACTTGTTTACTTTTCAACACTAGTAGCATGTTTAATTCAATGTAATTATGATAAATAAATACTTATTCTATAATTCTTTTTATTAAAAAATTGAACAAAGTAAGTGATTGTCTACTTAAAATAAGTTAAAAAAGATATATATCCAAAGTGTCATTAGACAAATAGTTTAGTTAAGTGTTTATTTTTCACGTGTGATGTAAATTTAATCATAAATTAATTGAAAAATATAAAAAAATAGCTTATTGTATCAATAAACTTATCAAAACATGATAAAAAAAATCCACATCAGTTATAAATTTTATGTGAACTATTCCAAAGGCATTTTTTTCTATCTTATTTCTCACTTGATACATCTAAACATAACAAAATTAAAATATTTATTTTAAATATTATCCTTTTTCTATCTAATAAGATAATCAACTATTGAAATATTATGTTAATTCACGCGAGAACACAAAATCAACAGATTCGTCCTTTTGTGGGATTTGGGCTATATTGCCACCAAATACGTCTAATAATCTAATTCGATATTGGGCCTGTCTAAAACTAGCCCATTAAGGCATAACAGGGTAAAGTTGATCATGGACAAAAAAATGAAAAAGTCTAAATTCTATTACAAATTCTAAAACGCTCTCACAATCAATATTAATTTTAATATCAATTTAATATTTTTACATTTCCTTTTTAAAATATAGTCTAACACAAAAAAGAATTTTTTTAACATAATTAGTAATTTAAAGTATTATTCTGTTATTAGGAAAATAAACTTTTCTGCAAAGCTGTTACATCATTAATTAAAAACAATTATCTCATATTAATGCATTAGAGTCATGTATTAAACTAACCACTCCGTATTAATATGTTTTTTTGGTCTAGATCTCTGAATTATTATGTTAATATTGTACTTGGTATTAAAACTTTTAAAAATTATATGAAGCAATTAAAATATTTAAATATTAAAATTTTAATGATTTGTTTTTTTATTCATTTTAAAATGGCACTGTCCGTTAATAGACTGGTCATGCAATTTCATTATATTTAAGCGTGTTAAATATCTTCATATAGATTCTAAACTTTCAAATATAAGTCAATGCACAAATATATTAACTTTGTTTTGTAATAATATTTTATTTAAAGACGGTATCCTCTAAAATATTTTATATTTTAATTTTAATTTTGCAGTGTAACGCATGAAAACTGTACTAATTAAAACATAACTGGTGAAACTAAAATGAACAGTAATATGAAGTAAGATTTATTTTCTATCAACCTCTTTTCAAACTATCACGATTCCAACTAATAGCTACATAACATATATGTTATTTTGTTTTAAATACTGAAACACTTGTCAACTACGTAACTTGTGTAACTATACATATAACCTAATGTTTGATTCAAGAAAATTCAAATTTAAGATCTTATTAATGTTATACAGCATAACTTTTACCATGTTAGCACATGTTTAAGAAATTTCGTTGCATAATAAAGTACACTAGATGTATTGATGAACATAAATTATATCACATTAACAAAAGAAAAGAAGAATAAATGAAACACTTAAGCTGGTATCATCTCCATCTATAAGAAACTACACGTATTGCAGAAAATGAATAACACAAAATCAAACCAGAAAAAAGTTACGTAAGCTAGCAGAACTGTATCTATATAAAGAAGGCTCATAAACGAGGAATCTTGGACAGGACAAACATGATTTCTCCAGATATCCATTGCTACTATAGTTAAATAATTTTGCTGCCATGGTGGCAGTGGCACGACCCCCTTGGTGAGTGGGAGATATCAGATAAACATGAGGTGTGTAAAAGGAAGCTCTATAATGATTTTTCAATTTAGACCCGTACGGGGTGCTGTCTTTGGTCCTTATATATGATGCATTATTTCATTGCACAGCCTATGCCACTATGAAATTTATTATATATATCATATATGATATGATATGGTATGATTAACCTTACCCAGTTGGAATAAAGATTTGGACATCCATCTTTCAAATCTTCGACTGAAGCAGAAAGTGTACCTAAAGTACTCAATTTTTAGTGGCTTAATGCTTGAAATGGGTCCTAACTCCACTATCCCAAAACAAAACAAGCAATTCCCAAAATGGGCCCAACATGTTTTCCAATCACTCATTTAGGCCCCAACTGTCATGCCTTCAATTGAACCATAGACCCTGCCAATATTAGCTTCCTGCCATTGACCAATTTCAATCGATGATAAAATTGAATTAACGTAAAGTAAAAAAGATTCAAATTGGTCCACATTTTGGAGAGAGAGATTAATATGTTGGATCTCAACACGGTCTTAAAAGAAGAATCAATGGACTTTACCTTTTCTTTTTCACGTTACGGGTTGTAAAGTGAGAGAGGGTTAAATTAAAAGATGAAGTGAGACTCCTTGTAGAATACTTTATTTTTATATTTTAATTTTTGGAGTACAATATGGCACTGTACTTTATTCTTATGAAATGAAACTAACTACAAAGAAATAAAGGGTCCGGGGGACCAATGGTATCTACCTAAAAAGAAATTAAACTGTTGGAGTTTATGAGCTGACCTATGTTGATTTCATCCTTATATCCTCATTATTCAACCATCAACATTGTCTCTTTCATTACATCTATGACTAGTCTTAGTTGGCTGCCACTCTCAATTCATGTATAGGATTTTTCTTCCCATTTTCATTTTCATCTTCTTTTGTTGTTGTGAGGAATGATTAAGCAATGACACATTGATTGGTATGGTGATGACCTAATGGGTGCATCTCTTTTTCTGGTATTTATTTAATTTAAAGTTTAATGATATGGTTAAATGTGAATAACAGTTATTTTAGCTAAATTTATTAACTTGAGTTTGAGTTTCAGTTTTATATATATTAAAAAAAAGAACTTAATACTTAGTAGTCTCAGGTTGAATAAAATATGTTCATAAATTAATTTCAATTACACATATTTAATAGAATATAGTTTTTTTTAATAAAAATTGATTTTGTAACTTTAAAATAAAAGTCTCTAAAATTAGAATCTTGTGTTGCTGGATCTACCACTTTTGCTTTAAATTTAATTCCCTTTTCCTTTTTTGGATTTCTATATACTTTTTAAATCATTCATGACGTAATTTGCGGAGGAGGAGCTAGATTTTAAAGACGACTCCTAGCTTCATTTTCTGATTGAGTAACAAACTTGATAAATCACTTTTCTTGATGATTCCTTGATTTAAATGAATGATGCGCTGTACTTTTGGACATGTTAAAGTGAACACGTGCTTCTTTAACGTGTTTTGATTACTAACATGAATTGATAACCAGATAATAATTTTCTCTTTCGATAACATGAACTGTGTTCTCGAATTGGCAGAAAGACATGAACGAGGGATTCAAAAATAAACCTTTTAAGCTCCTCAGAAATTTCTTTCTCCACTTATACATAAAGTTGGTCATATCCAATCCAATATTTGATACACACAGTGGTATTAGATATGCCCCTTTTTACTATAAAATCATTCATGTGTCCTTATTCAATAATTTAAGCTAATGAAAGAGTATATGATCATATATACAAGAAAAATGTTTAGTAGATATTTTTGGATTGTCTACGTTTACAGTAAAATACAATTATTAAAAAAACAATAAATATGATTTAAATCACATGATGTGATGAAAAGGAGGAATCAAGAGAGGAAAACTGTTATACATTGTTATTTTTCTAAATAAATTTCAGGGATGACCCCTCCACCACATCATCCTCGTTTTCTAAAACCAGAAATAAAAAAATGAATGGCACAGTCAGCATGCACATTGTTATAAATTTATTCTTGCCCATGATTGGTATCTATAATATGGTCTAAGATTACATATCCTATAATCCAAATCCGATTCATCAGCTGCAATGGAGGACTCGGTTTATGAACAAGAAAAAGCTAAAGAGAATGGTGTTAATAGGCTACAAAACCGACAGAACAAGAAAAAAATAAATTAACTGGGCTATGAAACGGTCCATGGTGATGCATTTCCATCCAAACACTGCTTTTGCTTTTGCTTTTTTAAAGCTAAAGATGACACCAAAGTAGTGTGTATGTATGTTTGTGCGTTAATATGGGAGAAAAGAAGAGAGGAAAAAAGAAGAAGAGTACATAGGATGCTGTTAGTGTGTTACCTCTGAGCTCCATTTCATCACACAGCACTCCTCTCTCTCTCTCTCTCTCTCTCTCTCTCTCTCTCTCTCTCTCTCTCTCTCTCCATTTGCTACTGCATGTTCAGTATAACTCTATGATATTCCAACTTCACTTTCACTCTACTAGCATCCCTCAACTCTAAGCTAGCTAGTTATGCCACAAATGGGAACTCCTACTCTAAGCTTTGTGCTCTTTAGTTTTTTCACCCTTTTGTGTTTCACTTGGCCGCCTTCTGTTTCTTCTCTTCCTATGTCTTTGAGAAGACAAGCTTCTATCTTGGTTTCTCTCAAACAAGATTTTGAAGCCAACACTTCTTTGAATGGCTGGGACATGTCTAACTACTTGTCTCTTTGCACTTGGGAAGGTATTCAATGTGACCAAAAGAACATGTCTGTGGTGTCACTAGATATATCCAACCTTAATGTTTCTGGGACACTTTCACCTTCCATCACAGGACTCAGGAACCTTGTGAGTGTTTCTGTTGCTGGGAATGGCTTTTCTGGGGGGTTTCCTGCTGATATTCACAAGCTGGAAAGGTTGAGGTTCCTCAACATATCTAACAACATGTTCAGTGGAGACGTGAGTTGGGAATTCTCTCAGTTGAAGGAGCTTGAATTGTTGGATGCTTATAACAATGAGTTCAATTGTTCACTCCCTCTTGGTGTCACTGAGCTAGCTAAGCTCAAGTACTTGAATTTTGGCGGGAACTTTTTCAATGGTGAAATTCCTCCAAGCTATGGAAACATGGTGCAGCTCAATTTTCTATCTCTTGCAGGGAATGATTTGAGAGGCTTCATACCAACTGAGTTTGGAAATCTCACCAACTTGTCTCAGCTTTTCTTGGGATATTACAATCAGTTTGATGGTGGAATACCACCTCAGTTTGGTAAGCTGGTTAATTTAACTCATCTTGACCTCGCAAACTGTGGCTTGAAAGGTCCAATTCCAGCTGAATTGGGCAACCTCATCAAACTTGACACTCTCTTCTTGCAAACTAACCAGCTCAGTGGTTCAATCCCTCCTCAACTAGGCAACCTGAGTAGCTTGATATGTCTTGATCTGTCAAACAATGAGTTAACAGGAGACATCCCAAATGAGTTCTCAGGCCTTCATCAGCTTACCCTCTTGAATTTATTCATGAACAGGTTGCATGGTGAAATTCCACCTTTCATTGCTGAGTTACCTAAGTTGGAAGTGCTCATGCTTTGGAGGAACAACTTCACAGGTGCCATTCCTTCAAAGCTTGGCCAGAATGGTAAATTGACTCAGCTTGACCTGTCAACAAATAAGCTCACAGGAATGCTTCCTAAATCTCTATGCTTTGGAAAGAGGCTGAGGATTTTGATCCTTCTCAACAATTTTCTGTTTGGATCTTTGCCTGCTGATCTTGGTGAATGCTACTCACTGCAAAGAGTTCGTTTGGGGCAGAACTATTTGACAGGATCAGTACCAAATGGTTTTCTTTATTTGCCTGAGTTATCCCTTTTGGAACTACAGAACAATTACCTTAGTGGTTGGCTTCCACAAGCAACAAGCACTGCACCCTCGAAGCTTGGACAGTTGAATCTATCAAACAACCGTTTATCTGGTTCTCTACCAACCTCTATTGGAAACTTTCCCAACTTGCAAATTCTGCTTCTTCATGGAAATAGAATCTCAGGAGAAATTCCCCCAGATATAGGGAGGTTGAAAAATATACTCAAGTTGGATATGAGTGTTAACAACTTTTCAGGCACTATTCCTCCTGAGATAGGTAACTGTTTGCTACTCACCTATTTAGATTTGAGCCAAAACCAACTATCAGGGCCTATCCCAATTCAGGTTTCTCAAATTCACATACTAAACTATCTCAATGTCTCATGGAACCACCTAAACCGAAGTCTTCCCAAGGAACTTGGGGCCATGAAGGGCTTAACTTCAGCAGATTTTTCTCACAATAATTTCTCTGGTTCAATACCAGAGGAGGGACAATTTTCAGTTTTTAATTCTACATCCTTTGTGGGAAATCCTCAGCTCTGTGGCTATGACTTGAATCCATGCAACCATCCTTCAAATGCAATGTTGGAGTCTCTGGGCAAAGGCAGTGCAAAACCAGGAGTTCCTGGGAAGTATAAGCTTCTTTTTGTGTTGGCACTATTAGGCTGTTCATTGGCATTTGCAATCTTGGCCTTTATCAAGAGCAGAAAGCAAAGGAGGTACCCCAGTTCATGGAAGCTCACAGCATTTCAGAAGCTGGAATATGGAAGTGAAGACATAGTGGGGTGCATAAAGGAAAGCAATGTCATAGGAAGGGGAGGAGCTGGTGTTGTATACTGTGGAAACATGCCAAATGGAGAACAAGTAGCTGTGAAGAAGCTGTTAGGAATCAACAAAGGCTGTTCTCATGATAATGGACTCTCTGCTGAAATAAGAACACTAGGTAGAATCAGACACAGGTACATTGTGAGGTTGCAAGCTTTTTGTTCAAATAGAGAGACCAATTTACTTGTTTATGAGTATATGCCAAATGGAAGCTTAGGTGAAGTCTTGCATGGGAAAAGGGGAGAGTTTCTCAAGTGGGATACTAGGCTGAAAATAGCAACAGAAGCTGCAAAAGGACTTTGTTATTTGCACCATGATTGTTCCCCTCTGATAATCCATAGAGATGTTAAGTCAAACAACATATTATTGAACTCTGAATTTGAGGCTCATGTTGCTGATTTTGGTCTTGCCAAGTTCTTGCAAGATACTGGAACATCAGAGTGCATGTCTTCAATTGCTGGTTCTTATGGCTATATTGCTCCAGGTACTTATGTCTAATGTTCACATTTAAATCAATTAGTCTCAAAAAATGATAAATGCTTCAAGTAGATTTATATAATTATATTGGTCACACACTTCAAGTATAGGAGAAATTTATTGCTTAGCTCCCCAAAACAGTTCAGGGGATATCATTGTTTGGATTACTGATTTGACCTATTGAAATTAGTAAAGTCAATGGATGATTATTTCAGGTCCATTTAAGAAACAAATATTCATAGTAAAAAAGTCAATGAGAATGGAATGACTATACTTTTCTGTATTTTTTTTTTAGCACAAAAATATTCTCCTTCCTTACCACAGTAGCATTTACTTGCTATTTTATGGGACCACATTGTCTCTCATGTACGTGAATTTCTAGATTAGCTAAAGGCTCCACTAACACATAGGAAAATTCTTCTTTTGCTTTTCCGCACCTTAACTGGGCTTGTGCTTTTGCATGCCTTGAAACCATAAACCCATATTCAAACCAAAACAAATCACAGCCATTCTTTTTTGACTAACACCCATTATCATATCTACAACAGCCACCAAATGCACATTAACCAAAAGCATACGTTTCTTTCACCGAGGCTCCAGATTGGGATCTAAGATTTACTTTCTCAATACCCCAGAAAAAGAAGATTGAACAATTTACATGCACAAGGCACAACCAGATCATCTTTTTACAAAGTTAATTTGTTAACTTCAAAATTACAATGAAGCTTTTCCCATTTTTATCTATAAAACTATTAGTGGCCAGTCTTTTTCATCATCACCATCATCATCATCATAATCATAGACACATTTTTTTCCCAAAAAATGAAATTTATTTTACCGTCTTATCTACTTTAACTTTTGAGCTTAGCCAACCAATATGTTGTCCTGATTTTGATTTATACCACAGAATATGCATACACATTGAAAGTTGATGAGAAAAGCGATGTGTATAGCTTTGGAGTGGTACTGCTAGAACTATTAACTGGGAGAAGGCCAGTAGGGGATTTTGGAGAAGAAGGAATAGACATTGTTCAATGGACCAAGCTGCAAACAAATTGGAGCAAAGACAAAGTAGTGAAGATCCTTGATTCTAGGCTATGTCACATTCCCTTAGAAGAAGCAAAGCAGGTATACTTTGTGGCCATGCTATGTGTTCAGGAACATAGTGTGGAGCGACCAACCATGAGGGAAGTGGTTGAAATGCTAGGACAAGCAAAGCAACCAAATACATTTCAAATGAAGTGATCTACGAAAGAACCAAAAAGAAAAGAGTAAAAGAACATACAAACAAAAGGCTGAGTCTATACATGTGCCTTGCATGCATGTGTTCATGCTGTCGGTTGTTGGTAAAGGGGTCAATTTTCCTAACTAGTTTAGTTTGTCATTTGAGTTTTGAAGAAACTTTTTTTTCTCTCTTTATTAACACTTAGCTGTGACAACAACGGACTTTCATATGTTGTAGGCATACTAGAAAATTCACTATAGTTGGGGACAATGCTGCATTATAATGGTTGGTGGCGTGGGGTGGGGGTGTTAAAGTTGATACTACCGCAGGAGTTTGTACAATACATTGGGATTGAAGTTAAATTCCTTGCCATTTGTTTGCTGCTTTTCTGTAATTTTCTAGCAATATTTATTCACCACCTACAACTACAATAAATTGTGTATAGTATGAAATCATCTACCAATTTCTATATAAAAAATGACCCAGATTTTTTTTTCACAAAAAAGAAAATCTGATCGTGTTATTTGAAACTAATAGTTTTATACTATTCAACAATTTTTCCTACATGGCATGTTATAAATAAAATCTAGAAGATGTCAAAGCATACCACAAATTTTTGCTAGTAAATATTTTATGCCACCTGCTGTAGGTAATTTATTTTACGTGATGAGATCATTATTTGTGCTATAAATAATAGAACATTGGTGTTTGGTTGGAAAGACTAAAAAGTACTACTACATAGATAGATATTGTTACACTGACCATTCCTTTTCGTCCTCGTTTCCTGCAAAGTTGCCGTCTCACTTGTTATTATCACACTACAGAACTTGTGAACTGTGACACTGCTTAGTGGTGCCACTTGCCCAGACCAACCTTCCTGCATAATAGCATCATTGAGAAGACTTTACCTCTTCTAAAGTAAATAACAGTGTTTTTAGTTTTGCGTTAAATTTATTTAAACATTAATATATTTTAATTCTATAGGTCATAGTGTTCACGTTGAAATGTGATTTAACCATAAATTATTATATTAAAACATTATTTATTGAAATTTAAATGATAATGTGTATATAAATATTGTATTTTTTTAATTATAATTATATTTTCTAACGACTGATGTTAATTAAAAAATATGTTTCGAAATTCGGAAGATATTGTATTCTTTTTGTCAAAATCGTTTTTTGTCAAATTCACTTTTTTTATTATAACTGTTCTGTTCGTTAGAAAGACCCAAAGGCCGAAACAGAAGAGGGCCCAAAGAAAACTAGGATGTTACCTCTAACAATAAAACGTGACAATAAAGAGAGGCCCATAAAAAAGTAAAAATGGACCAAGGGAAGCCCTTCTACTCCATGAAGAGTTGGAATGGGATTTGTTATCTAGGCAATGTTTTTAAAAACTGACCCAGCTTTTGACAAAAATTGATCTAAGATTGTTAGTCCAACTCAATGGGTTTTAGTGAACAAAAATTTAAATTTAATGAGTTTAAATCCTTTGACAAAAATAAAGGTTTAATTATTAGCAGGGACCCAACTTTCTTTTTAATAATTGAACCAAAATATTTACATATTCAGAGTTAAAGTCGTTAAATAAAATTACTAATATATATTTATACGATTGTTTAATTTGTAAAAAGTTTTTAAAAAAATACTATTCATATCAACAATATTTTTAAAATTAAATAAAAGTAAAATTAAATTAAAATTAAAAATATTATTTTAATTTATTCATGTATAATTAAATAAAAATTTTATTAGAAAAATAAATAAATAATTATTTTTAAATTTTTCTTCAATTTATAGAGTTTTATTATTGTTAAATAATAGTGATACTTTTCGTATAACGTTTTATAAAATTTATACTTACAATTTTTAGTTAAATTTAAAAAATATATTTATGATTCAGATTTTTTTATTATTATACGTTATTATTTTTTATTTGTTACTTTTTTATATAAAAAAATTATTTTATATTTCATTTAGTATGCATGTATTTTATGATTACTTTTTTTATTAAACACTGTGATCAAAATTAATTTATTGGATTATTTATCTTAAAAATACAAAATTTATTATTAGTTAAACAAAAAATAATAATTCTTAAAATAATATTAAATTTATTATAATAATTGAATGATAGTATTTTAAAATAATAATTAAAGACATTGGTCAAAGGAAATTTTTTTAACATTTTAAAGTAAAAAATTTTATAAAATGTAAAATATTTAAATAATGTTTAATATTAAATGAGATGAGTATGTTTCTTGTATTTATATTTTTATCATTTAAATATAAAAATATAATTAATTTAATCCTTTGAATCATTTAAATTTAATATTATTGTTTATTTTATCATATAATTATAACATTTTAAGTCTTAATTAAGTTATTTACAATGATACAATTAATCAAAAGTAATAGAATAAATGGTAAAAAATTAAGAAAAAGGTAATTTAACAATAATAATATATATTTTTATAGTTTTTAAAAGTCTTACAATATAAGTGTATATGTATATTTATAAATATACTTTATAAATATATTTATTATTCATTTAATGTTTACAGCATAATTTTATATAGTTTGTAGTGAATTTTTAAATAATTAACAAAATAATTAATAAGAATGAAAAAAAAAGTGTTTTAAAGAAGAACAATATTATGTATGTATATTTTTTCACACAATTGATAAATAATTTTTTAAAAATATATTAAATATTTAATAAGTTTGACTAAAAAATTTAACTATTAATATTTAAATAAATATAAATTTATACATAAATTCAATTAGGTTATAAATATTACATTTTAATATCTAATCATAATATTTTCTTAAAAAATTAGTTCTATATATTGAAATCTAACATGACGTTCATAGTTTTATTAATTACTAATAATACATATTTCAATGTATTTTATTTGTTTTTTATTACACCGATGCCATACACAGATTGAATGAAAAATAATGATAAATAAACGTCAATAACAAATACATATTTAAATAAAAATTGTATTTATTTAAAATTGTATAACTCGTTATAAAAAAGTAAAATAAATAATTCAAATCAAATATAAAAAATTGTAGTCTTATATTAATGTAAAAAAATATTGTCTCTTTTTAATTAATACATAGATTAGATGAAATAAAATATTATAAGACTAGTTCTTCAATTAAAACCATTTTTGACAGATTTACTGCCGAGATTATGGAGCGAACCGTGTTTTAGAGTATCCAACAAAAAGGTTGGGTATTTAATTCCGATAATACTTTTTATGTCCATTTTTTTAGTATTTATTTTAAATTTTCCTATATTAGTATTATATTTTTTTAAAATTTTATTTACACCTTCGGTTTTTGAATTTCATTACATAATAAGAAAATTTTGGCATGATTCTGCAATGACTGAGATACTTTGGTGTAACCATCTAAAAAACTATTGGAGGAGTAAAAACACAAACCAAATGAATAACTCTTGGGTAAATACATACTATAGATATGTAGAATTATCATTTTAAACATATACTTTAAATTGCTCAATTAACTACGAATAGTTTATTAGTAAAAAGTTGAAAACAACAGTAATTTATAATTTGTTTGATTTTTTTTATTTTTAAAAATTACACTTTAAAACAATTTTAAAAAAATTGTTTGATAAAATAGTTTTTTAAACTGTTTTTAGTTAAAAATTTTGTTAGTTATAGAAAGAGAAATTGAAAAAAAAAACAAAAACAGCTGGTAATAATTCTGTTTTATAGTTTTAAAACTGAAAAAAAAATTATTTAAAAAAAACTTTTTTGAACTTATATTAATAAACAAGTCTTTTTTGTTTTTTATTTTAAAAAAATTCTATTCAAGAAGAGAAAATAAACAAGTTCTTAATCTCTTTAATGGCGTAATTTATTTTATATTTTTATTTATAAAACTGAATTAAATAAAACTATGAATATAATAAATTTAAACTGGTCTTTTATTTCATATTCGTGAAAATATTAATGGAAAGTTTATTTTATTAAATATGTTTTTTTTTTAAGAAAAAATAGATTAATAAAATTTATAATTTGTAATTAAGATTGGATTGTGATTTATAGTGAGATTTTAATATTTTAAAACTTTTTTTTGCTATTTTTAAAACATTTTTTTTACATCAACCGTCTATTTAACTTTTTATTTAATGAGTATTGTATCTTAAATGAAAAGTTTGTTACGAAAATAATTAATATTGTGGATAATAAAGTTTCATTCACTTGGTGATTAAAGCGTTAAAGTCTTAAACTCAGCAAAATTTTGAGAAAAAAAAATCGTAAAATATCAATTTAATTTTTAAAATGATTTTGACAAATCCCATGTGACCCTTCTTGGTTAGTAGTTATGTAGAATGGATTAATTTACTTTACAAAGAGGTGTGCATTGTGTGATATATGCTTGCGTGTGTATATAAATGTATTTATCATTAATTTGAAAAAAGATAATATTAATAATTAATAAAAAAGTATAAGTGTGCTTACACAACAACGATAAATTTAAAAATATTTTGTTATTATATATTATCTATTTATAATAAATATCATTGAATACGTATTTTTTTTAATTTAAATTAAATAATAATATTTTTTTAAAAAAAGTAACCTATTAATTTATAATATTTATTATTGTTGTTAAAATCAATATTTTATTAAAAATAAATTTATAATATAAATATTACTCAAATCAATTATAATTTTAAAGAAAATTAATAATACATATAAAGAGATTATTAATTAAATTTATATATATAATTAATATTTTTAAACGTTTCAGTCACTTTTAAAAACAATATTTAATAGAATTAAATATTTTTTTAGTATTTAATATATTATTATTAAAAAACATATTTATTTTACTAATCTATAACATTAATTATTTTTAAATATAACTAAAAAACTTTCTAAAATCCAAATAATACGTTGTTTATAAATTCGAATAATTTAAATGAAAAATAATATATTTAATTTATTACAATTAACAGTGTTAAAATTTTAATTCAATCAATTTTCTAGAAGCTAC